GCAGGTTACGTTTTGATAGAGGATTTGCCATTATATACTACTTCTACTAGTAGTCTTTCTTTCACTATAAACATTAAGAATGCTGACGGTGACATTTAATATTAGCGTTAACAATACAAGCAAGAAGGTGGTATGTGCTAAATCGCAATCGGTTAATCAATTGGTTCAAACAGCGTTGGAAAAGTTTAAAATAGACGGACAACATGGCGAATTGTTCCATAATGGAAAAAAGCTAGACAGCTCATTGCCTATAAGGTTAACGAACTTGGTTAACAACTCCAAGTTAGTGCTTGTTGTTAGCGATGAATCGGAGGAAAAATTGGTGAATATTAAGTTGGCGATCAATGCTAAAAATGAAATCAAATCTTACATTTTGAAAACGAGTAATTCGAGGTCGTTGATGGAGATACTCGGGGAGTTTGAAAGGAGAAATGACTGCGATATAAGGGGTGAAGGAGAATTCGAATTGACTGTTTTGAACAGTAAGATTGGCAGTGGCAGCGAGGAGATCAAATCCAGTTTGAAGTCGATCATCGGGAGCGATGTTTCGAGCTTGGTGATGAGATTGGCGTTTTTGCATACCAATAACAATGCAGAAGAACAGCAGAAGATCAATGAAATACAGAAACAAAGAATGAAGGAGTACCAGAGACAGGAAAGAGAGAGAAGAGAAGTGGAGCAAAGAACTCAGGAGGAGGCTGCAAGATATGAGGCTGCAAGGCAGGAACTGCAACTGCAGCAGCAAATACAAACCACAGTACAAACAGACGAGGTTTCCACTTCTCAAGCTCCAGAATTACTGCATAACTCTGGTAAAAGACAATTGAATCATTCAGAGGCTTCACAAGTCAACACAAGTGAAACAGCTACAACAGACGACACAACCACACCTGAAGGGTCAGATCAGGCGTCTCCAGTGCCAGTTGAGCAAAAAGACACGTTATACATCCCATCGGCGTTCTCCACGTACGAAAACCCTGACGACGACTACGAAATGACAGTCGATCAGGTCCAGAAATACCATAAGATGATCATCAACTCGTCCAAAAAGCCGGCAGCACCCAAACCGAAATCAAAGCCGTCAAAATACTCCATCAGGATCAAATTTCCTGACAGAATCATGCTACAGCTAGAAATGAACGATCCAACGGCAAAATTGGGTCATCTCCTCAAGAAAATCGACGAATATTTGGTGCCCGAATTCCAGAACAACTACAACCTCAAAATCGGATACCCCCCCTTCTCAAAAATTCCTATGTCGCTCACTCACAACAACACCCCTCTCGCAGACTCCCCCTTCTTCCAAGCCGAAAAAATCGTCTTGATCTGGGAATCCCTTGTCCCCCATTCAAAGGGCCCCTACATCATCGAAAACGATTTTGCACGCGAAAATGTAAAGCGGATCAACGAACTTCCAGAGATAAAGTTAGAAACTAATAGAAGTAACTTACCTGCAGACTCCAATCCTCGATCCGGCGTCCCGTCGGCGCCCTCTTCTACCTCATCGACCCATAATTCCGAAAAATCAAGCGCCAATGCGTCGAAAAAGGTTCCAAAATGGTTCAAACCTACCAAATAGCGCAATTTGCCCGATTTCCCTTATCGTAGCCTCCGGGCCTGAACCGGCCTGCAACTTTTAACAGTCCCATGCTTACATCTACTCACATAAAATCGTTCAATTTACAATATTTGACATCAATCGCTTATAAGTATGATGTCTAGACGTTAATAACTAGTCTCCAGGTCTTATTTCACCTGTATAGCCATATTCGATTGTTATCGTTATCAATATAAAAGAGGAGATACCATTCTAGATTGTAGTATGAGTCATTGTATTAGTAAAAAGCGTACTCTTGGTTACCCGTGTTAACTATGAGGGGGTACGGCTTCGTAAAAATTTCCCGGTAAATTTCAGACCGGACGTAAATAAAATTTTTCAAAAGTGAAAAATTATAAAAAGTCTCCAAATTCCCCGACCGAGCTTTTGAGAAAAACTCCTTTTTCTTAATTATTCACAACAACTACAACAAGATTATATCTCAGAAGTTTACCTTTTTCATTTTTTGCCTTATTATTTAGAAATTAATTATAAATCAAAAATGTGTGCTTAAATTTAATTAAATTTAATTTAAAAATTAGAAAGTTATTAAAAGTTTAAAAATAAAACTATTAATTACAGTTACTAAAGTTGTTGTTTACCCCTTATTTAAAATGTTATCGTGAAAGAAATAGTTAATCCGTCCAAAATGACGTTCCCATATTGTTACCCATATTAATTTTATTATATATTGTTATTGTTTGAAGAAAAAATAAATTACCAAATGTCTGCTACTACCAATACTACCAACCGTGCATCAGGCACCAATCCTTTGATTTTATGTGGCGATTCGATGTTCGAGTCGTCCGATATGTTTAGCCATCCACAGGGCCCCGACTCGGTCTTGGGGAATGAAATTATCCCTATGAAGCACGAGTCTATGGAAGAGTTATCATCGCACTTGCCTCTCGATGACCAGTTGAACAACGACTTGCAAAAGACGTCGCCATTCAACATTCACTCGTCTGTGTTGGACTCGGTGTTTTCTAGCACCATGGATGAAAACGACCAGTTGCAGGACCATACTCCTATGTTTGATGAATTAGATTTCATCATGGATGAGGGTAAGGCCAGCCTGAAGGACGACTGGGTGTCGCTTTTCGGCGGAAACGACGATAGTGGCAAGCGTGAAGAGACAAATGTCTCGATGAACGCCCCAACCAAGAGATCTTACAGTGAGGTTGACACATTCGAGACGATCGAGGAATCGGTCGAGCCTGAATTTGAGCCAACCGCACCCAAGCAATTGTTTACGCCAACCCAATCCAACTTGTCTACTCCAATCATTGATACTCAATCGAAGGTTACCAAGAACAAGAAGGCTAAGGTTGACCACTTAGGATGCGTTAGCTACTCTAAGAAACAAAGATCTCAACCGTTAGTTCCTGTCGTAACTGAAACTGCCGACCCAATGTCTATGAAGCGTGCCAGAAATACCGAAGCCGCTAGAAGATCGAGAGCTCGTAAGTTAGAGAGGATGAACCAATTAGAAGTTAAGGTTGAAGAGTTAATTGACGAAAAGACTGATTTAGCAAATGAAGTCTTGAGATTAAAGGAGATCTTGACTGCTAATGGTATTAGCCATTAGATATTGTGTTTATTGTTTGTTTTCCATATTTTATTAGTGTTTTAATTCAGTTCTTAGATTGTTCTAAATAAATATTTTAAAGTATAAATTGTTGTAGGTAAGATGTGAAGGTAAATTTACACTATGATGTACATTCAATAATTATATTATAATACATCAATAAGCAAACCAGCGAGTTTATCTCAGCCTAAGTTGTATGCTTAACATTTCATTCTACCATTCTGAGTGACAATTGCCACTTTCAGGAAACCTTCCTAAAACACTTTGGCATTACCAAGCTCGTTGGGCCTTGTTCTTGAATGTTACTGTCTAGGTAGGCCAAAGGAGGTAACAAAACGTCGAAAAGATCTGCGAAATAAGACAGTGCTCAAGAGATGGGGCTTACAGATGATTTTCACCCTCCTGAAATATCAACTTGTAACAACTGGATAGGGCGAAGCACTGACTAAAACGGGACGTACAAAGATGGAATTATGTTATCGTCGATGGCTTATTACAAGTCGAAGAAATTTCAAATGTAAAGTTGTAACTTCAATTTGTAGTAGATAAATCGAATGAGCCCCAAAAACAGAGACATGTTTGAGATAGTATAAAACAAACTTACAATATTTGTAGGTAATCTTATATTGTTCGCCAATGTTGCAGCTCCCCGTCAAAAGTAAATTTGGGATTATAGGAATATTAAAGTATAATTTGTTATCAGTGTCAACAACATATTAAAGTATAATTCAAGTTATGTCTACAGTAGGGAAAACTCCCTTTGAAAACTAACACATTATCAAATATTGCCTGAATAGGTTTTTCTCCAAGTACGGGAAACAAAAACAGTAAGGCATAATACTGACAATACGTTGATGTTATTTCATCTTGTAATTATTTTGAGTTGGATTGTCCAATAAGAAAAATTCCAGGAGTCCAACGTCGTCTTCAATAGGCCACTTTTGCTAAGACTAGATTATCCTCGTCGCAATTTGAATATCGGGACTGTCTTATTAACAAAAATTTATACATATCATTAGTATATGATATTGCGTCCTCAGTTATTTCTTTGTATCCGAATTCTAATAAGGTGGCTTGTAATTCTGAGCTTCATCTGATTACCTTATTATTTCGGTGATATGCATCTGACATCAGAAATAAACCGAATTTATTGCAACACAAGGTCGCGTGTAAAGAGTTCTGGTGATAAGCTTAAGATGAAGAGTATCTAGAATGTTCTAAGTATATCTGTCCTTAGTTAACTGTTGCAGATATCCATGGGTTTCTCTTTAGGAACGATTTAAGGATTAATTGTTTTCGTGATGAATAAGTCAACCATTATTCACTATAATTCATTCTACACCATAATCCCAATGTTCCATGAAATTATTGATTTTTCGTAAAACAAAGTTATATATCCGTCTATTGTAATGCCTACATATCCGACATACTAATTGATACGGCGAATTTCAACATATATGCGAGAAATTTTAGCGGGTCTAAGATATTTCGAGGTCATAAATCTTAATGCCAAACTTCACTATATTCTTTTTTTCAGCCGAAGTAATGTAATTTTAAGATCTAAAGAAATCGAAACTAGACGGCAATAACATTATGTATCGTCTATTTTTAATCAACGGTGTAATGATTGTAGTTTAAATTTCGTAACTTTTTGAGTGCATAATATATGAGGTTCGGAAGCTTCCACGGCATCCAAATTTACGACATGACACTCTCGATACAATCCGAATTTCATGTTTGGTTTAAATAGAAGATCAATTTCCTTCGTAAGTGACTAAATGACCATAAATTCTGTCTGTAATACAAAAATTGAAAATGAAGCTGTCAATTTTAACAATCCTTCTTACTGTGGCTAAATCAGTTAACTCCAAAGTAGTAGATCACAAAGTTGAAAATTCGGAACTTAGTGTTAATGTTAGCGATGATTCTGGGGATGAATACTCTGGTGTAATGATTCATGGAAATGAGAGAAGAGACGATGATGATGGTCAAGAAGGTGATGGAGACAACGATGACAATGATGCTGATGGAGACAATGATGCTGATGGAGACAATGATGATGATAATGAAATAAAAGATTATTGTAAATTTTATACTGCTCAAGATGACGACGATACATGTGCGTCAATTGCGGCTAAATATTCTGGTCTTACAGAAAGCGATATTATAAGTTTTAATTCTAAAAATGGCTATTTTTACGGTTGTGACATGATATGGAAAGGAGACAAAATATGTATATCTAAACCTGATGACGACAAATATAACGACCGTCACCGTACTACGTCCTCTAAATTTAGTTCATCACTGAAAACTTCAGCACAATCTTCGAAACGTACATCGACTAGAAATTCGCATGCAACTGATGGCACCGACACTGACTCGGATGACGACGACAACCATCATGGTACGGCGTCCTCTAGTTCATCCGTGAAAAATTCACAGTCTTCGAAACGTACATCGACAAGTAATTCGCAGTCAACTGATTCTGGATCGGGGGCTGCAGTAGATTATCAATGTTCGTGGTTTGGTATATCCGTTGCCGGTGCTATTGCAGTTGGTGGCTTCTTGATTTAATATATTACCGTTACATAGATTCAATTGACAATATTAAACGGCGAATTAAAGAAGGTTGTTGCAACACATACCATGTTAAAAAAAACCCCATGCCAAAATAATGGAATTCTGCTGAATTTGACCAAAAAAAAAAAAGCAAAAATATTTCATATCTTTTTATACTCTTATTTTTGCCTAGTATTTTGGTTTTTATAAGTAAAAAATCGATTAAGCGAGACATACGATATAAATACCCTCTAGATTTGAATTTGATGGTAAAATTTCCAGGAAATCAGACTTTTGACAGGTCATTGACTGAGAAACAGTTTCTGCTTGAGCCAAAAGTCCACTGTAACTAATTCAAGATGTTCATTTCAGGTCTCGTAGTAGTCTAGATGACTTACTGCCACCATTATATATCAAACTACTTCTTAGCATACGTTACCAATGCATCGGTGCCAAACTGTTCCAACCTTTCCTTAGTCAAGTCGTCTAAACAAGTCGTAGCCGACGCTTCGTTTTCGAATTCAATAAACGACAAATTCCTCACCTTCACCAACCGACTATTTATAAAACCTCCATACGCCTCAAAAAACTCCAAAAGGTCTCCATTGGTGATTTCGGGCTTCAAGTTCTGGATCAAAAGTATCTTATTTGGTGGAATGGCCTTCCAGGTTTGCGCTTTCTTGACTCCCAGCTTCTTGACTCCCTTGGCTTCACCTGCGGCCTGTTCGTTAGCCTTCGTCTTCAACTGCTTCCGTATTTCTATCGCCTCTTCGTCCTTCAATATATCACGGTAGTAATTATCCGAGTTACTCCTAGCATATTCTACATGCATAGGCTTTCCAAATAACTCGTGCTCCTGTAATCCGTGGATTGCAGCTTGACTCGCTGTCTTATTCTCAAATGTAACAAATGCCTGTCCCTTCATTTTGAGGTTCTTATGTGCTGTGATCTGTATGATTTTGCCGTACTTTTGAAACACGCTTTCCAATTCTCCCTTGAGTTTATTCACTGATACCTTATCATTCAAATTATTCACATAAACCGTCTCCGTTCTCTCAGCATCGTCCGTTCCAGAATGTGTTCCATCATTGTTCGTTGCACCACTGGCACCAGTCACATCTACCTTCTCCACTCCTAAATCCTCGGTATTAACGTTTATATCTCCGGATTTTTCATCTATTTTACCTTCCATTGATCCCTATTATCTCTTAATCTGTCTAAAATACGTCAATTAGTACCATCCCAAACAATTTTTCAGCTTCTCACTCTCATTACAACAAACGAATTCGTCAAATATCCACCACACAATATTAGGTATCCACACGTACAAGCATCCAAGCTCTCGGTGTAAGGATGTACCTAATGGGGACAGGATTCTCTGCATTAGTTGCTTCACTCATTACTATCTCCGAGATAACGGCTAATACGCGACATAAGCGCAGAAAATCAATACTTACGTAAGAAAACGACAGATGCATTTCTAAGCCGAAACCGCACAAGTAACAAATTCGTCCTCAGGTACAAATTCTGGTCCCGCTTAAGCCAATCATGATACGCCTAAACGTAAGCAGAACGGATTAGATGCAATTCACGTGACTTATGTCTCTTCTTTGATTTACTTATAAACTGTCAGAAAAGAAAAAATAGCAAATAGTAGTTAATTCATAATTTGTAATAAATCCTTTAAAAGACTAGTATAGCGTTATATTTACGATAGTATGTCATTAGTTACGTTAAAAAACCAGATAGGGGGGTTATGGAAGAAGTCTAAGTCGGATGAAGAGTTGGAAAGGATCGATGCTTCGTTATCTAATAATAACAGACCATATGGGTCAACAGATGATGCATATGATAGAACACAGGAAATAATAGTAGAAGAGGCCATGGCCAACGCGTCGAAGCTGAACGGGTCGGTAAGTAGCGAGGATGACGAGAAGGTAGGGTTTTTTGATAAATTTGACCCTAGAGTGATGTCGGACATAATTATTGGTTTATCGGACGGATTAACGGTTCCATTCGCTTTAACCGCAGGGTTATCTTCATTGGGAAACTCTAAGTTGGTCATTACGGGTGGAATGGCAGAGTTGGTATCGGGGGCGATTTCGATGGGATTAGGGGGTTTTTTAGCAGCTAAGTCGGAGTTGGAATACTATAAATCACAGGTGAAGAAGGAAAAGTTAGAGTTTTTCAAGAAGCCTGAGTTGATTAACCAGGACGCAGCAGAAATAATGTTTGATTTGGGGGCTTCTGAACAGACAATCGGGTCGTTTTTGAAAGATTTAGATTCGCAACCTAAACACCTCATCGACTTTGTTATTCGTTTCGGAAAGGGCCTAGAAGAACCTGCAGAGGGCAGAGAAATCACATCGGCATTGACCATTGGGCTGGCCTACTTCTTAGGTGGTTTCGTTCCATTATTACCATATTTTTTCTGCACGGTAGTCAAGACTGGCTTGATTACATCCGTCATTGTTATGTTGATTACCTTATTTATATTCGGTTACATCAAGACTTCCATCTCCTTGGGAGAAGATTGCGGAAGGGGTAAGAAATTCATCGAAGGTATTCAAATGGTGGCTATTGGGTCGGTGGCAGCTGGGGCTGCCTGGACTTTAGTATACTTTATTGATAATTAATTGTGTTTCTTTTCATACTCCCACCACACCATTTGCATTACTTATTTTACGCTATAGAACTCTCTTTCTTTGTATATCTCTTATTCCATTAATGTATATTAGCTACTGTAAGTGTCTTACTGTAAACTTGACCTAACCTGTAAAATATAATATTTACAGGTTATATATTTTTTGGGGGGCCCTCTATTAGTGGCGTTATGGAAAACTCGTTCAACTACTACTAACTGTCTCCTTAACCAGTCAATCAAATATGTCGCATAGATTTGCTGAAATTATATCAAAAGTAGCTATCCCATTAGGTATAACGGTTACCTTAGGGCAATCGGCGCTTTACGATGTCGAAGGTGGTAGAAGAGCTGTTATTTTCGATAGATTAAATGGTGTTCAACAACAAGTTATTGGGGAAGGAACCCACTTTTTGATCCCATGGTTGCAGAAAGCCATTATCTATGATGTGAAAACGAAACCTAAGACCATTGCAACTACTACTGGATCGAAGGATTTACAGAATGTTTCATTAACTTTGAGAGTACTCCATAGACCTGAAGTGTTGAAATTACCGGTCATTTACCAATCATTAGGTTTAGATTACGATGAAAGGGTTTTACCAGCTATTGGTAATGAAGTTTTGAAATCGATTGTTGCGCAATTCGATGCTGCAGAATTGATTACGCAAAGAGAAGTGGTATCTGCTAGAATTAGACAAGAATTGTCCCGTAGAGCTAATGAATTTAATATCCAATTGGAAGATGTTTCCATCACTCATATGACTTTTGGTAGGGAATTTACCAAAGCGGTTGAACAAAAGCAAATCGCGCAACAAGATGCAGAAAGAGCCAAATACTTGGTTGAAAAGGCAGAGCAAGAAAAGAAGGCTAACATTATTAGAGCTGAAGGTGAAGCCGAAAGTGCTGAAACCGTGTCTAAGGCATTGGCCAAGGCTGGTGACGGTTTATTGATGATCAGAAGATTAGAAGCTTCTAAAGATATCGCTGCTACTTTAGCTAATTCTCCGAATGTTTCTTACTTGCCAAGTGGTGGTAAGGGTGGTAGTGACAATGACTCTAAAAATTCTTTATTGTTAAATGTTGGCCGTTAAACCTAAATATTATTTGTAAATAACTTTATACATGCTCTATGAATTCAAATATCTAAGATTACTAATTCATCATTAATGCCCGGTGTAGTTATGCCATTTTTAATTAATGATTCAATATCTTCAAGCTCCTTAACGCAACCGCTAGTCAAATTCACGATATCATTTCTTGACTTACCCACGACGACATCGTCTTCAACTCTGATTCCGATGCCTTGATACCATTTAGGATATTTATCGTTCATTGGAATATATAAGCCAGGCTCAATTGTGATTACGTTTCCTTCTTTAATCTTTTGAAACCTTGAAACCGATGGAATATCATGAAGATCTAATCCTAAATGATGACCAATATAATGTGGGAAGAGATCTTTAGAAACGTCATATTTTGATACATTTGTAAACCCGGGCAACTTTTTAATTTCCTTAGTTAAACTGCCAACCGAAAACTCATGAAGATTATTTATAGAAATATCATTACTCTCGTAGCACAAATCAATACATTGTTTGTTAACTTTCAAAACGATTTCATAGATATCTCTTTGCGGTTCACTGAATCCACTTGGTGAATTTGGCCATGCTCTTGAAATATCTGAGCAATAACCTCCCAACTTTCCACCAGCGTCAATGAAAACCAATTCATCTTTATATAACAAATCATCATTTCTTGTATAATGAATTGTTAAAGCATTTGGCCCACTGGCAATGACAGGAATGTAAGCCTGCTTATCACAACCACCTTTAACAAATTGATAGTCAAGGTATTTTGCTAATGTTTTTTCCGACTTAAGCGGAGATTCAGAACCTACCTTTCCCATGGCTTTGTTGATTGCCCTACTAGATATTTGTGCAGCTGCATGCATCACTTCAATTTCACTAAAGGATTTGATAGATCTCTGTTGTGCAATCATGTTATTTAATGGCTTAACCTGCTTATTGGTGCTTTTGATGAGCTCTTGGATACTGGAAGAATTTTTGTTCAAGACGTTTAAGTTAAAGAATGATGAAAATTTACTCGATGATCCTGGTACGCCGTTTGATTTGTCATCCCAATAGACGATATCATTTCTAGATAATAATATTTCAACATATTTCTTAACATTACTAATATCATCAACATAATCTGCATTAAAAAAATCGTAGGCGCCTTGTAACCCCAGTCTTTCGCCTTCCCATAATTCTATTTGTGGATTCTTAGGTGGTACTAACATATGCAAAATAACATCCTCCTCATTACCTCTATCATGCTGTTTCTCAATAATAGCTACTGAGTTAGGTTCTAG